AATTGAATTGAATTGAATTGAACTGTGCAGGGGCAGATCTAGCAAAGTTTTGCTAGGGGGGCAGGTAGGGCATTAACAGGAAAGGTGGGGCACAAAGAAATACTTTTCTTCCTTATTCTCATTTAAAATGTCTAGCTTTTAATAAATATTTATCTGAATCTTTAAACTAACGTGGTCATCTGATGTAACCTGTATAGAAATCATACATATACCAACAAGACTGTACATCACTGTTACTGCAGTGTTTCATTCAAAGGCTTTGTGGCTTTTCCTACAATACCTGGGGCCTCTACTCAAAATGCCTGGGCCCATTTTGTGTCCCAGTCCAGCCCTGCTCCACACTGGGTTGCGTTGGCAACATCTATAAAAGCATCGCTGCCACCTGGTGCCCTTACACTCTGATACAGTGAGCTACTTCATCTGACCTCAGCAGCACTGTTTTTACTACCTTTATTATATTTGTTGTGTTTAAATGAACTTCTGTAATGAAGCAATTTCCAGATGTCGACCTTATCGTACCAGATAACAATTAAGATCATCTTCATCTGCACTGACACACTGATGACGCAGTCACCATTATGATGTTTGACTCTGAAGTACTTTACCAACAGAGTGTGATTACCTCTCTGAGCCACATACACCACCCCAGCATACTGGTTGACTGCCACTCCAAACACGTCTCCGGTGTAGAGCTCCGGGTTCTTGGGCCAGCTCAGATCCAGTTTGTACAGGGGTCTGCCCAGCAGCTGGTAGTCGTGTCTGAGGGTCGAGCCGCCCGGCTGCTGGCTGCTCATGGTCCCGTAAAGCACCATCATGAGCAGGACCAAAGAGGCCATGCTGGAAACTATCAAACACGTATGACTTGTCTTTGTCATCAGCATCAGTGGTTTTGCTGTTGGCGTGTACTTCATTTAACACTCTCGTTTTAAAGCTGCCAGTATGCTGCGTACGTGTCCGCGCAGGACGCACAGGCGGAAGTCGGCTTAGCTACACGGGCCACGGAACAAGCAGAACCTTCGTACGATACCTGCTAAGATATTATACGGTTAAAAGCTCGTGATTGTCTTATATATTTGAATCCCACCGACCAAACAGAAAGACACTTCCTCTTCAGCACTAAACGAAAACAAAACAGGCTGTCACGTGAGACAAGCACGCAAAGCATTTCTGTTTATTATGTCGCAATAAAACCGCGTTAAGAAAAAGAAAAGAAAAAACTAGATTCATTCGAGTTCAGAAATAACCACTGAATAAAGATGAATTTAAAAAATAGACCCATGAGATTTAATATATAACGTAGCATAAACAAGCTAACATATGAATATCGTTGAGGTTTTATTTTTACAGAATCATTTCTATTTCCGGTCGCTTGAATCAGCAGCAGGAGGAGGAGGATGCTCGGTGATGCCTGTGTTTCCCTGTCTGGTTTTATGTGTAATGAATGAGCTGTAGTCAGCGGGATTTACAGACAGCGTTAAAGAAATGACCTCTTTTGCGTGTATCTTTATGACTCTGCGTTATTTACATATCTGTGTTACAGCAACAGAAGACCACAGTGGGGCCCCCACAGTGGGGGGCACAACTGTCAGCTAAGAACAAGAAACTGACGCCACACTTCGGACTCACCAAAAAGAAACAGAAGATTGAAAAACACTCAAAAGGCCTCCACAGTAAACAGATCCGTGGGATGTGCTCGGAAGAGCAGCTCTCACACAAAACTGTGACTCTGTTTGTTGCAAGGAAACCGGGTGTTACTGTATTTGCTGTTACTGTTTAAGACAGGAAGAAACAATACAATTATTATCTAAGGACTACACTGTGAAACAGTAGAAGAATGTTAAATTCCAGAAATACTAACTTTCTGTCAAGGTCTGATGGCTCTTCGTGTATTTTACTGTGGAATTCAATGAGTCTTGAAGCCAATGGACAAGAATTTTACAAAATTGTTTTAGAATTGTTAGAAACGCCTAATTTAATATGTATTCAAGAAATATGGTTGAAATGACAGTTTGATTGTGTCAGATATTTGTATACAACCATCAGGAGTCACAGACAGACTAGAAAGGTGGGGCTGTGGAAACGTGGGAAGAATAGGACATACATGTGGTATGTCTTATCCCAGAATAGGACATGGTATAATATTATGAATGTAATCAAGGTATGGACAGATAAACATAGTGTGAAAATATCATGTGGTCTATTATCATAATCCTAGCAACACACCGAGAACTGATATGCTGAATGACGTTGGTGTCCCCATCAGAGGAAATGTGATGTGGGGAGTCGTAGCAGAACTCATTCATGTGAATGAAGAGATTGAAAAGTTCATAAATGATCATGATTTTGTGTATATTAGTAATGGAAAGGGCACAAGCTATCCCAATCCCCTCAATCAAACCAAGCAGTTATAGTGTAAATAGTCAATTCAGGTAAAGACCCAACAAATCTGTCAAGCTATAGATCCATGGCATTAAGATCAGGGAGCATAGAGTTGATGATAACAGAGGCTCCTCATCAAATGTGGGGACTTCTGCAACTCAGAAAACAAGCAGTAAATAGCAAATTGTAAAAGTCGATATTAGAATTCCTGTTTGGTAGGACAAAAGAAGTAAAAATAGGTGCCGACTGTCGTATGATATGTCGTATATTATTTAACATAAGGAATAATAACGTTTTTGAAAAGACTGAACAAATGTAGGAAAATTGCGTTATGCTAAAGATGGGGCGCACTGGGTAGAAAAATTGAATGTCTCTGAAATAAAATGCAGCCTGCAGGAAAGGAAGTAGAAGACTGTGCAAATAAGTCGGGATTTATCCTATATTTATTTATTTTATCAGTTAAAAAAATCATGTCTTTTTTTTTTTTTTTTAAACTAAAAATCAGTACATGAACAGGTGCACGTGGTTACAGGTGCATGTGGTGAGATTTCTACATGCTTGTTTGATGAGAAGCTAAACTGGTGTTAAAGAAAGTTAGACACAAGTCTAGTTTCTGCTTTGTGTGTCTCTCAAGTCGAAGTAGACGGGAGGAAAGAAGAGCTTATCTGCCCGTACGTGTATGTGTTCAGGGAATATAAAGGTGGACTTGTTGGCAAAAATGAATTCAGTTTATAGGAAATTAGCACCAAAGGAAAAAATATAATTCATAATCATATGCAGAAGATTTGATATGAATGTTGAGATAGTGGACACACAAATACATCTACAGAGAATCCAATAAGTAGTAAGTAGTTTTGAACAGCATGCAGGGCAGGAACCCAAAGCAGGAGATCATTTCTCAGGTAAGAATAGGACATATAGGACTGACCCATACACTACACCCATTAACACCCTGTCTTTACTCTATTATGACAGAAACTGTTAAAAATGCAAAAAGTGCGAGTGGGGAGAGATTTAGTAGCGTGATTGAAAGGATCGTAATTAGAACTTTACATGTTAGAGGAAGCACCACAGATTATGTTATTATTACAGGAGCATCTTTGAACTACAGGATTGAGAATACAGCTCGTTTCCTCTGCTAATCTGTCCACACGCCAGTGCAGGCGGTGATGCTGCTGCATGCTTTACCGACGCCTTTAAAATAATCAACAGAAGAAGAAGAAAGCCGACCCAGCACCACAGTTGACCAATCAAGATGCAAGCTAGCTGTGATGTCACAACGCTGCTGTGGCTGTGCAGCGAGGCGACTCTTGCTTCCTTTACAGTAATTTTCTTCTAATTATTTTATTCGAGCTTTTGAATCTCAGTGCGAATGACAGTCAGTGAGGGACAGAGGCGCGTTTCATGTAGTGTAAGCCGTCGAAGGATCGACTCCATGGAGGTCGTGGACAGCCCGCTCAACCTTGTAAGTTTGATGTTGCAATAAGAGGCTATCTTTACAGCAGCTAGGAGCTAGCGGCTAGCCGCTTTGTTGTTAGCTTTGCTGCTGTTGTGCTGCGACTCATTTGCTTCGTAAGTCAGATGTTGGAGCAGAGACTGGCGTTACTCTCTAGGCGTAAAGTCGGGAAAAACAAGAATATATGGATCTGTTTTACTCGTTAGGAGAGACATTCAGGCATCACTAGCAACATAGCGCAATGCTTTTGTGCCTCATAACACACAGCTGCAGTACGTTCACGAACAGAGCCTAACCAGCGCTCTGCGCATGGTTTATTTAGTCAGTGACAAATACACAACCGTGGCCGAACAGACCGATACGGTTGGATTGCTGTTTACACTCATTGGTGGAGCTACTTCGACTTTCTGAGTTGGAAATCCAATTTATGGGAACGTTTCAGTTACCTCGGAAATCAGAACCAGAGCCGCGTCATCCCCATTCACTCCAACGGACCGTTTCGTTTTTTACAGCAATGGCGGATCATGCAATAGTTAGCAATATACGCTAACCGCACCATAGAGATGCAGAAGTGAAAGAGAAGATGTTTAAAAAATAAAATAAAGTGCACCCAGGTAGGGATGGGTATTGATAAGATTTTAACGATTCCGATTCCATTTTCGATTCTGTTTAACGATTCGATTCTTTATCGATTCTCTTATCGATTCTTTTTTTTTTT